GTGAGGATTATGGGTACTGACCTGCGCAGTAGAAAATCTGTGTGTAACTACAACTTGGCACCAACTCCACGGCTGTATCAGGATGTCTTTGGCCCTGTGCCCCTACCTCCTGGTGATTATGACTCTTCAGTCAGTGAAGTGCCAACTCTGGGATTTGTTGACACTAGAAGTCAGCTCTCCAGACATGGGACCCACCCAGCGATTCCTCAACAAACACCTGGTGCTCCGCATTATGTATATGACTGGAGGGGCCTGATGAGTGAAACTGCAGCCTACCCTCCTGAGGCTTGCCTCCTGGGCTCACCTGTGCCTGAGCCCATTCCCTGACAGGCCTGGAGAAGAGTGGGTGCAAGGGACCCTTCCTGCCTTCCTGGAAGAAGTCTCCTGAGAACTGGTTATTTTGCTCAAGGGAGAAACGGAAGGCCCAGAATTTTACAAAGCAAATTAGTAGCAAGGCTGGCACTAAAACCCAGAGATCCTGACCCTCTCGTCTGGCCCCAGATTGGGGAGAGAAAGAGAAATCTTGAGTGCATTTCTTATGTACCTGTTTGTCCAGTCGGCCTCATACCAGGCTGTGCCAAGTCTAAGATACATGTTATCTGGGGGTCCCAGTCTGCTGCTTCCTGCTAGGTAGCTTGGGGCAGATAACCACTCAGCATACTTTTCAGTGAAATAGGGATCATGAGAGTGTCCCCTTCATGGCGTTCTTGAGAGGTAAGTCAGTTCTGGATCTGCCGGTTTGTAACTCTGACTTTGGGCCAAGGCACTTCATCTCTCTGTGCCCGTTTCCTTATCACATAGGGTGCTGTGTGGGTTCTTTGAGATAACAGAGTACACTTAGCTCAGTGGCTGGCACACGGTAAGTGTTAAATAAATTTATTAAGAACATTATTACCAAGACGTGAATGCCAGTCAATAAGAGTCTCCACTACTTGAGACCTTGCCCTTCTGGGGAGGAAAGCTCAGGTGCATGCGGTGGGGGAGGGAGGGCAAGTCTAAGGGGTCCTCTCGCTAGAAAGCTCCCACGCGTCTGTCCCCGGTTGATCGGCTCAGCGACTTCCCGCCCTAGAGGAACTAGAACGGAGGGATCTCAGGCCTCAGTGGCATCTCCTCCCTCGGCCTCCTGCTTTCAGCCCTCACCCCACACGCTGGGCGGGCCTCACTAGCTCCTCCGGGCAGCCCAAGGAATGTGAAGAGGTAGGTGGGGGTGGGGAGGAGCGGGAGCCTCCGGGGAGAGACAAAGGGGCCGAGTCAGAGCGGGAGACACAAAGACGCGAGGAGGCTGGAGATAGAGAAGTGGGACAAGGACGCGGGGAGGGACTGGCAGTGTCTGGAAGCCGGACCCTGGCCCGGCTCCGCATAGCCAACAGAGCGCGGGGGCCGGTCTGTGCTGCCTCCTGGCGGACGGGCGCGGTACGGAGGCTGTAGGGACCAGACTCAGGAGGCGAGGGAGGACCGAGGATGGCACCGACGGAGGGAAAGACAGAGACAGACACGGAGAGAAACAAGAGACTGAAAGACACGGAGACGCACACAGAGACAGAGAGACAGTGACAGGCACAGAAAGACACAAAGATAGTGACACAGAGACAGACAAATGGATGGAAAGAGGCACGGGGACCAAACGACACAGCGATAGAAAGACAAAGAGAGTCCAGAAACACAAAGCGACACCGACACGTTAGGACTGAAGGACTCAGAGATAGAGACAGGATGCAGAAGGAGACCCAAAGATAGTGAGAGGCACAAAGACAGAGACACTAAGAGAGAGAAATCTAGAAAAAAACGATGCAGGGACTCCGAGTCCGAGGCAGAGATTAGGCGGAGAAGAGATACGCTCAGATCCCCCCAAACACTTGACAGACACCCGGCGAGGGCCTAGAACAGAAGTCGAGAGGCGGGGGTATTGGGGGGGTCAGTCTCAGCGCGGGGTCGGGGCTTCAGAGGGGCGGGCCTAAGAGAAGCCGCGTGCCTCGGGCAGGTGTGACAAGAGGGCCTGGGCTAATACTGAAGGGGGCGGGGTTAGACCTTTGGGCGGGGCCGAGACCAGGCCCGATTGAGCTCTGTGGAAAAAGCGGAACAGACTCGAGAGAGCGGATGGACCGGGAGCTTGGGGGCGTGGCTTCACGAGGGACCACCGAAAGCTCGGGAGGGGGCGTGGCTAAACCTTAGTGGAGCCGCCAGTAGACTGGGGACGGGGCGTCCTCGAGAGCAAAGGGGGTGTGGTTAGGACACGAAGCGGGCGGGGTTTGAACACCCCAGAGAGTTGAGAGAATTCTGGAGGAGGGGAGATTCTGGGGAAGCCTGGGGAGCGGCAGGTGTAGAATCCTGGGAGGGGGCGGGTGCAGAATGCCAGAGGGCGGGAGCGCAGAA